CATTCTGCTGGTAAATCTTGCACTGAGAGATGCTCATGGTAAGGAAGGAGGCAGGGATGTCATGGCAGATGTTCTGACTTTAAAATCGGAGTCTGAGGATGTTAGCAAGGGATACCGGAGTGAGGTTTTTGGGTTGTTAGGGTTGTCTTTTTGGTTTTTTCTTTTTGTTGTTGTTGTTGTTGTTTTTAATGACTAGCTAATTCTGAAGTCCCAAAAGGTTTAGATCTTACTTTGCAGTCCCCAAAAAATGTTTGGGCGGAAAACTCTAGAATCATGTCATGAAAAATTAATGATGAGTCTTGTCTGCTGTGGAAACCTGGCATCAGAGGAGTAAAATAACAATTCTCTGTTCAGGGAGCACTTTGGAAAAGAAAGGCGGCAAGGAGTTTGTGGAAGCTGTCATTGAGCTTCGCAAAAAGAACGGGCCGTTGGACATAGCTGGAGGTGAGGTTCTGCGCTTCGGACACCTGCGACCAAAACCCGGCACGGCCCGGCTGCGGTGCAGTCAGCCGGCCGAGCTCCGTCGAGCACAACGCTTGGGTTCGTGCTGGCTGCGGGCGACCTTTGTGGGTTCCATGATGCTTGTGAAAGTGAAAACACACGCGTTGCACCCTAAGCAACCTTTGCCAAGGCGTCTGGGAGATGGTGTAGTGCTGTGACAGTACAGGTAAAATCCGTCTGTTCACAGGTACGCACCTACACGGTGCAGGTTGGTCATTAAGCGCACAGTTCAGAAAAGCAATTAATGAAGTGCTCATTTTTCAGAACAGTTGAGTCCACTTCTTAAACATCTGCTTCGCTGAAGTGCTGCTGACTTTCACTGAACTTAAGCACGTGCTTAAAGTTAAGCATCTGCTTGGGTACTTTGTTTAATCAGTGCCAAAATCATCACTATAAAAGCTTACGACTTTTTGGTGCCTAGTTATCAAAATTTATGTAATATCTGAGAAAAATCTACTATATGAGTAATAAAGTTTGGTAATGCCAATATATAATTTTACACCATCTGTGAAATTGCTGATACATGTTGTTCCTATAGAAGGCTGATTCTGCCATCTGTGTTTATACTATAAAAATAAATACAGTGTGCGCAGTTTTGTAAACGAGTTGTGACTAAAGCTGAAGAGGAGATGTAAGACTTCAGCTCTGACAGGAAAAATTACAACTGTTTACTTCTGGTGCTCAATACGTTGGGGTTTTTTGCTTTTTAAAATTTGTAAGAAGTTTTTCTTGGAATTCTTGTTGTGCAAAAATATATAGAATGAAGTACTCACTCTTGCTTACTTCTGTGCAGTGTTCCTTATCAGCCCAAACCAAACTGCTCACAAATAGGTTGCAAGTTGGAGAGAAGAGAGTTTTGTTCTCCGCCATCAGCGTGTTCCTCAGGTCGGAGGGCTGCTTGGCAGTCGTACCCTGTGGGGAGCTCTGTGCTACACCGGCAGAAACTGGCTGTTAGGGACTTGTTGGAGGACTCTAGAGAAGAATTGGTACACCTCAATTTCTCAATCGTACGGATATCCAGTTTTCAGATTTCTCAATGTTCTGCGTATCCCTTTAACCTACCAATAACCAGGATCCTCACCTGGAATACAATTGTAACTAGCACAGAACGTGTCGATGGTTCTGTCTTTCTACAGCAAGAGCATAACTTCAAATGCAAACGTTCTGAAAGGGGAAGTAAGGGACAACTGCTTTTGGTAATTAACAGTTGTCCTCAACAGAATCGTCGTGAGTTAATTAATGAATACCCCAGAAAACAGTCCCTGAGAAATATTAAAGTTGGTGATGCGTATCAATATGGTATTTTATTCTTTCAGGATGAAGATATTATCCACATTTCACATCTGACTAGAGATATGTCAGCTGCTTTTTCTTGGATTTACGATGTATTCTGAATCTGCCAGTGTTTTAGTTGCATGTTATGACAAATTATTGCTGCCTAACACTGAGGCTATTCAACACGTTGAGAATCTACAAAGCCAGAGGAACATAAATGCGTGTGATTCCGTTGTCCTTCACAGTGTACCCTTCTGGTTAACCTCCGGTCAGAAAGCCGTAGCACAAAGTCGATTTTCTCTTTCCTGCAGCAGCTACAGGATAGTATCCATATGTGATGATTGTGCTCCAAGAGTTATTTCTACTAAACTTAAATAACAAAAAGCCTCATAAACATTCCAGAATGAAATAGCTGATTTCTGGCCTCTAAGCACCTTTATAAACCTGATTTTTTTTTTTAATTGTGTTTTTGAAGACATAAGCTGCCACTTTATACCTATACTTTTGTGGCCGCAAATGATTATATCCCAAAGCGTGCATGTCAGGGGGCTGACTCTTTATGAAGGTTCAGTGTATGCTCTTGTGAGATTTTGACTAGCTGTTCTTCCCTCAGCTTGTGATTTTCTTAAATTTTTTTTTAACAAATCAAAGTTACAAGTTTTTAATTGCAACCACAGACCTGTGAGTTCAGAAACGGCAGTGATCCTCTTCCCCTGTTGTCTGGCAGGCAGAGCACAGTCGGGTGTTGCTCTGCCATGGGAAGTGGTGAACCCCGAATATGTTCTCCTGCTGAGCGAAGGCCCCTCGTCTGGAGAACCCCTGGTTGGCAGTAGTTTGTAGGAGCGCTCTGCTGCATCCTCTTAGTCCCCACACGTCATATCGTGGTGATAATAGATGATTAGCATGGTAAAAGTTCTCCTTCATTTCTTCGTACATGCCAGGCCTTGCCTGTTGGTATATAAACAGTGTGAATCAAATATGGTGAATCTATAAATGCATCCTCTCCAGCAGTCTGGCAAGAGTGGATGAAAGAGATAAACTAAAACCAGCATTGTTTAAGTGGTCTTGGATGACCCCTACACAAACAAGCTCAAATAAGACCAGGCCCAAAGTCTTGAAATCACACCAAATGTCTGCTTTACAGTTACTCAGAAACAAAGCTGGAAATAATGCAAAAATCTTAATTCACCTCTATTCCAGCCTTCCTTGCCAGCTGGCGGAGCACTGATAGCTCTGAGCCGATGCAGTGTGGGCTGCGGTGGTCAGAAGCTAGCTGAACGAGCTGTGTATTTAGCAGGAGGGGCTGAAGGGTGCACAGGTCATAACGCTGTCTGTCTGTCCAGCATCCTGGTACTGACTGTAGCTCTGCGATAAACCCAGCCGAAGCAAGATCATCCCTTGAACGGTTTACGTTCAAATAGGTTACTGCCTGTCTCCTTACACAAGTTTGTACAATCCCCAACATAAATGTGTTTCCTTTGATGTCAGCCATGAATTCTTGCTCTCTCTAAAATAAGCTCGATTATAGCTATGATTTATAAATTACCACAGCAAAGTGCAGCTGGAAATGGAAAATACAAAGTCTCTGTAATCACGTTGTTGTATTTTAAGGCTGTGTGATTTATAATCCAAAACATTCACAGGGGCTAAAGGAATGTCTGCCAATTGTTTGCTGTTTTAATCACGTATGCAATCTTTTAATCCTAAGGAGAGGAAAACAATTACGTTTCACTTTCGTTTCTTACTAGCTGTTGTCAGTGCTGGCCATGGATTGCCCGCGAAGTTTGTGATCCACTGTAATAGCCCAGGCTGGGGCTCGGACAAATGCGAGGAGCTGCTGGAAAAGACAGTGAAGAACTGCTTGGCTCTGGCTGATGAGAAGAAGCTGAAATCAATTGCGTTTCCTTCAATTGGTAGTGGCAGGTAAGGCTGTTACACAAACCTGATGCCAAACAGGTCACACTTTCTAAGTGCCACCTCGTGTATTCCAGTACATCTCCTGTACAGAACCCGCTGCTACAACGCTGGCTTTATTCTTGTTCCTTTAGATCAGTTCCCCAGATGAAATGTTTCTTCTAGGTTTGTTCAAGCTGTGCATGGAGCCTGCAGTATTCTCCTGAATACTAGTTCAACTTTGGCAGGTCTGGGAGTGATCCGTGCAGAGTCTTACAGCATGCAAAAAAGTTAAAGAGCATAAACTGAAATTTTTAGGAGGGTATTAAGACTTTTTTCAGACTGTCAATTTGTTCATGTAAATTGGGGATGTGGAGAAGAACGTGAAGAAAAGGTATCTATCATACCTAGTTTTAGTACTTAATTAAATTTACTGAATACGTGTCTTAGGATGGCAGAAGACATGGGTTAGTGTTCATTTAAGCAGCAAACATGAAGTGCCTTGATTGTCAGGATTTGCAGAGTCACTTCAAGCTTTCACCCAAAATTCCATGCAGCTGAATTCCATGCAGTTTACATCATGGGAGTCTTTCAGAAAAAAAAAAGTACTTGAATCCTTTGCCACGGTTTTTGAAAGCCAAAGTCTGAAGTTACGGTCCTTTGGCGTCGTACAGGATGCTCAGTGCCTTTGAAAGTTGGATCACGGTCTTGGGAGTCTAAATACGGCTGCGCTTTTCGTCTGAGGCTCTGGGGTTTGGGGTGGGGCGGGAGGTTTGGACGCTTGGCCCATAACGATGGCTCAGCGTGAAGACCAAGGGCCAAAGCTAGGCTGAATTACACAGTTGCGTGTTTAACCCTGAACAACTGCCCCTTGTGAATTTGCCGTGAAGGAGGTTGGCTGGTGCACAGCGGGAATATTCTTCCCGTTGTGCCGTGTTGCGACACGAGATTCGTTCCTGCGTGTTCTGTGGGTTAGGGCGGGACGTGTGCTGTTTGAGCTTTTGGGTGAATGACAATGAAGAAACAGAAGTTTCACTAGGATAATAAAGATTTAAGCGACTTACATCAGACAAAGCTCCAAAGAAGTTTAATTTGCATGGGTGTTGTTTTAAGGAGGTAACATGAGCAAACTTTGTGGAATGGTAGAGAAAGAAGCTTGGATTTTTTCTTTAGGAGAAACTTTATTCCTCCATGGGCTGCAGAGTGACTGTGGAGTTGGTTACGTAGGTGCCTAAAGCGTGACCATGTGAAGCGTCTTCCTCAGACCCCTTCCTGTTCTGGAGAGCTCCCAGCAAAGAACCATTCCCGGCCCTTGTGGCAGAGTCGTTGATTGGTGTTGGAAGATGGTGAAACCCTGAATAATGATGAGATTCACTTTCTGTTACGAAATCCGGTTACTGACAGGCAAGATCTGTGGCTAAGCAGCGTATGCACATGCACATCATTCTCACTCAAGCCAGTTGAAGTGGTGATTTTAGAAGATGGAGAGGGATCAACAGGCCTTGAGAAATATATGAGGTTGTGTGTTTTCCCTTTTTTCTCTTAATTAGAGATATTCAAGCATAGATTAATTTTGGAGAGGACAGAATATATTCTGACAATGCTCTTGTATTTATGAAGTCAGAAGTGTTAAAAAAAATAAAAGTAAAGCTTTTAAAGAGAGCAAATGCCAAAGACACCACATGTTCGCAGCTGTTCTGGTACAGACATCTGTCAAGCAGACATCACCCAATAAACCCACATAAACAGTTTCATTCTCTTTTATAGTTGAGGAATGGGATTACATGAGGGCAGTTCAAATAAATCACAGGGGAAAATAAAATCGCGTACTCGTAGCATTCAGTGGGCCAGATGCTGAGCTACAGCCAGCTTGTGGAAAGCACGAGTTGGGTGCTGTGCAGAGGTAGCCTGGAGTTCAGTCTGGTAGGGCCAGCAGGAGAGCAGGGAAAGGAGAGTTAGGGGCTGAAGATAAAGTCATCCTCGGAGCAGGGATTTCATTCTGAGGCGCTGACTTTGATCGGAATTGACACTAGCTTGGCTAAAGCCTCCAGCTGCCTTTTCATAAGAGTTTGACTCGGACCAGATCGACACAAGAGGCTTCTGTTTCTTGCAGCGCACGCGTGGCCACTGTGTCAGCACCTCTCTTCTGATTTTTCTGCTCTGTCTCTTCCCATTCTTTTGGGAGAGCGGTCCTAAACAGTTTACTTGAATCGGCTTCCCTTTGCGCGTGCCTCCCTTTGACCAGGCCGCTCCGCTTTCGTTTGCCCCGTTGTGGGCACCGTGCTGGAGCGCTGCTGAAGTGGAAGTTGTGTGACTGCAGAGTCCCCTGCGAGCAACTCGGAAACGGTGTCTACCCTGATTTTGATGCTGGTCTGCATGGGAGTTCCTGCTCAGGAGCAAAATTCCTTGAAGATCCATCCAGTGTATGCCAGGATGCACGTTCATAAGTAGCTAGCAAGCGGTCAGATGCGGAGGCGTGCTGAGCTGCCATCGTCTCTGTGTAAGCTGACGGTAGGAAGTAACTCCTGTGTCAAACCCGTGCTCTCAGTTGATGAACTGGTCACACAGCTGATTCTCCCTGACCAGCTCGTTTGGCTTTGGAAGAGTACAAGCTTTGTTCACAATGCTTTTTCTTTTTTTTTCTTCTTCAGTAGAAGAAAAAATTGGACATTTTCAGGAAAAAAAAGAAACAGCATGAGTTATTTCATGTCATCATTTTTGAAATATCACGAGCATTATCTTCAGGCAGCAAGTGTAATGCCACAGTACAGGCAGCACTACCACAGAACTGCTCTCCGAGTGTATTTTACAGCAAGGTAATGTGCAGGAAGCGGGTCACGACACAGGCAGTTGCCTTTCTCATTTTGTCTCTTGCAGCATGTAATGAGAGGGAGAGTACAACAGCGTTTTATTGTCAGGGTTTGATGCTTCAGTGAGCAAACACCAAGCGAGTTTGCACCTGTCAGTGCCAGAGGTGAATTTAGCCCAGCTTCTTCAGATTGCTGAGGAAAATCTGAGAAACTCGCCGTCTGTGTAAGCTGTGAATTATTAGTAGCATTACTAGTACACACTTTATAACAAGGAGTATTTACCGTCGTGTGTCGGGCAACCTGGTGATCTTCAGCGGGCCCTTTCAAAGGGCATTTGGGTCCCGCTCGTAACAGAGCGACCGTGTCCCTTCACCCTCAGACTCTGGGGCGAAGGCACAGCCTGGGTGGGTGGCAGCCCTCCGCGAGTAATACCGCAGCAAAGCTCAGGCCACGCTCAGAGTAGTTAGCAGGTGTAATTTCTGGAGTTTGCCATGACCTATAAAACTCGCTGTACAGGTCATGGCTTTGTTCAGACCATTCTACTTCTGCTTGGCCTGTTTTAAGATGAGATGAAACTTGCAGACAAGGGCTGCTGGATGAAAATGCGAAAAAGCTTGTGAGAAGGGTTTCCAGATCAGGCACTGAGCCTGGAGAGTCAGCCATGTGCAGTTGTGTCGTCTGGGAGAGCAGCAGGGCTTGTTCTGTTTGTCCAGGGCTTCTCCAGAAGAAGGGGGCAGGAGCCGCCTCTTTAGGCAGAAAGGCCTCTGGTTTTTAGGTCTCTCCAGGTGATACCAAGCAGATGTCTTTCATGGTGTCCTTCCTAGGACCGTACTTACATTGAATCAGCTCATAACTAAAAAGGATGTGTGCGGTGTTGGATGGCTTGGAGAAGCCATCAAGTCGATCAAGTTGTCCGCAGACCTGGCACAGCTCCTCCGTCTTCCCCAGCCTGCTGAAGCCGGACCGACCCCAGCGGGACACGGTTCGCTGGGACCCAGGGGAGCAGACTTGCTCGCCTTCGCTCAGCCTGCTTCACCACCTTTGAAATGCTTAGGGTGTTGCCAGCGTTGTTTCTCGCTACCAGACCGCTGGAACTCATTCTCTTTTCCTTTTTGGTCTGCAGCAAGGCTGTACAGGTCACTTTTAAAATTTTGTGCTATGTTATTAATGATTAATATTGGTAAAACCATTCTGTACTTTGTGTCTTGTCATGCTTCATTTTCTCTACCAACTTCTCTGTTCCTTTTTATTTCTCTTGAATGGTTGGTTTGCTTTCAGGCCAGGTTTGACTGGGCGACTCAACGTGTGTGCCGCTTGCCTGACCACTGCGGGCTGTTGGTGGACTTGTCTGTTCAGGGAGAATAATTCACCCATCAGATATTGTAAGGTTCAGCCCACTAATGTGCGTGGACTCCGCGTTCAGCTTTTGGGAATGCTTTTCTGCTGTTTGAACGTTTTAAGTCTTGCCTAAACAAATAGAAGTCTGTAGCTTCTAACTCAGACACTAAAGCTTGGTAGCTTCATTCACTGTGCTGCGGGAGAGAAAAGACGGAGCGTTCCCTGCAGGGTCGGGCCAGCAAAAGCTTGTTCAGGAGGTCTTCATCTTCCTTCTTTTTTTTGCCTCTCCTCCTAGAAACGGCTTCCCCAAGCAGACGGCTGCTCAGCTGATCCTGAAAGCCATCTCCAGCTATTTCGTGTCAACAATGTCCTCTTCGATCAAGACGGTGTACTTCGTGCTCTTTGACAGCGAGAGTATAGGGATCTACGTGCAGGAAATGGCCAAACTAGACGCCAACTGAGCCTAGAAAGCTGCAGCACCAGCCCCCTCTTCTGCCCATCGTCCGCCCCAAATCCTTAACTCATTGTGAAGCAGAGCACCCCTTATTTTGGATTTTGCTCATCTAGGGGAGTAAAGGTGGGGTTTTTGTTGGGGGTTTTGTTTGTTTTATTTTGGGGGGTTTTTTCTTTGTTTTGTTTTACTTTCCCAAATGTTTTATGTTGGCACTGATAGTTGGCATTACTGCTGTTAATGCACTGTATACCAGGCATCGTCTGAACTTAGTGTAATCTAGGAGATTTTATAGTTTTATTTTAATGAAGTATGAATTGAAGCAGGAAGCTGTTAGGAGTATGTAGTCTTTTACTTGTGAAAGAAACAGGCCAACCCTATTTTGTAACGTGTTGTGGTGCTTTATCAATACATCGAGTGGCGTTCCTTTCATTTTTTAAAAGAACAGATGCTATAAACCTAATTTGTGTTTGTTTATTGTCTTAATGATAAATCTGGAAGAAAAATACAGAAACCCTGTTGTCCTTAATTATATTTACAATTTTGAAATTGTGTGAATTGATTTAGTAAAATGTTTGAACTGTTGCTGTCAGTGTACTTGAATTAATTTTTCCCCGTAAGCCTTCATTTTCTAAGTTCTGAACATTTAGCTATGATGAAACACCAGATCTGACCAGGGGCCTGGAAACGCGTTTGGAGCTGCTGGGCCTCTTCCCTGTGCTGGTGGGATGGGTGCGTGCCCAGCACCACTCACACCCGGAGCCCTTCCCAGGGAGCATTCAGACTTTCCAGTTGGGGCTTCAGAGCTTCCTGTCCAGAATCTGACTGAAGTGGCTGTTGGGTTTGGGAGGCTGGAGCCTTCTAGATCAAGCAAGGGCTAGGATTTTTTGAAATAGTTTCAGGCATTTAATATTGGCCTGTTTGAAGCCATTTTGTATTTTTTCCAAATATTTGTGGGCCCTGTTTGTGTTGGTTGCCAGATCCTGTGCACAGCTGAAAGCCATACCAGCGTAACCCTTCACAGAAGCTGCTTGGTTTTGTACTTTGAGAAAGCAGAGGTTACGTGTTCAAAAGCTGTTGCATACAAGTGCTGGCTCAGAAGAGGAAGCTCTTCCTTTGAAGTCTGTAGCCTGCTTCCTAGGCAGTAGGCATACATTTGCCATCTCTGTTGAAGACTTGATTTGCTGATGGAGTACTTCACATCCACCTTGGATTAATCCAGAGCAGTGAGGGGGCCAGATCTGACTCACTTTTTGGTAAGCTCAGGAACACCAAGTGTTAAAAATGTGTAGCTTTAGCCTAAGCTCTTGTGAGAGCTTGGGGGTTTTTTTTGTGTAGAAGTCCAGATACTTGCAGCTTTCAAGTGGACTGCTGTAGAGGAACAACAGAAGACAAAATTTAATATAACAGTGTTAGAATAACACATACACAAAGTTAAGAAAGTAAAGAATAGATTTTGTGCCTGAAATACGCAAGGTGTTTGACCCTAATTTGAGCTGAAACTTATAAGTTTTAAATACCAAAAACAGCCCTAGCATCATTCTTCAAATACAGCAGCTCAAGTGGCAATAGATGAAATCAGGTGCAGTACTTCAGCATTGAACTGTGAAGTGCATGTTCGTGCAGTTGCGTCGATTCTTGCACTGAAACTGCACTTTCCCCAAAGGTCACTAGGTGGCACTAGAAGAGAATTGAAAAACAGGAAAGAGCAGGGATGAGCCGGACTTGTTGCTTCTGGCCTCACATCTCATCTGCTGGTTCTGCTGCTGGCTCCGTGAAGAGCTCCATCACTTTCCTCAGGAGTAGCTTGTGATGTGCTGCTTGCTTTGTTCAGATCCAGGTCCTTCTGCAAAAAAAGGCTGTGAACATCTCCCACTCAATGCAAATCTGAGCCCTCAGCACCATGTCCCAGCGTGACCGAAAAACGCTATTCTTCTGCACAAATACCAGCGCATCCTCTCACTCATTCAAAGGCCTGGAAACCCTCCACATGCTCAGGGAATGCCAGAATTCCCATGCTTCGACCCAGCCTGTTCCACAAGTGGCCTTGAGCCACAGCAGAGCTGCTCCCCACCGCATTGAGCCTGCCTGGAGGAGTGAGCCAGCCAGATCCAGCCCTGCAGCTCGGTCAGGGCGCGCCCCTGTCTCGCACTGCCTGAGGAACACTGCTCTGAGGTCCCAAAACCCAGCAGGCTCCATCGAGAGTGACAGAGACCGCAGAACAAGTCTGGACTTCACCGCACGGAGCAGCCCAAGTGGATCACGGCATCTAGTCAAGAGCTAAGAAGTGACACATCAGGTTACAAGCATAACAGGAAAAACAGGAGAGGCAATTCCTGCCAACATGTGCACTGCAGCCAGGACACCATTGCTGCGGGAATCCTTCACATTTTGCTTGTTATAGCTAAACATGCAAGCGTGATTTGTGAAATAATAAGTTAATCACAATTCCAGAAGGCCACGTGTATGCAAAAATCTGAGTGACAGAGCCTTTACAGCTTGTTCTCCTGTTGGTCAGTCCGTTATGGATCTTACCTGAAAAGAACTTTTCAAATAGACATTCTATCTTTAACAGCTTCAGTACTTTCCAAGGTTAAAAGCATTTTGTGGCCAATAGCATTTCCAATTCGCTGTTTCAAATCCTACATTTCTGCTTCTAGGCCACTGACATTTTCCACAGGAGAAAATCCATTGTAATACCATCCTTCGGGTGCACCGGATTGTGCAGCTTCGGAAGTTCCCTCTGATTTTACAGCCTGTCATCCTCCGGAAGCTCTCCTCATCCCAAGCTGTCAGCCTGGGTGACGTGTGGGGCGGGTATAATTATGCTGCCACAGCCGTGGTCAGGTTGCCAGGCTGGGTTCTAGCTGCCATTACCTGTTGACAGAAGCATTACTGTGCCCCAGAGAAAAAGTAAGCAAAAAATGCAAGTCTGGGGTCATTTTTCCACACACACCCACCCCCAAAGAAAAGGGGTTTATAACCACGCTGTAGCTCATCTGCTTTGTAAAATCCTTGTTTCCTGAAACTCATTTTTTTTTTTAATCCTGAAAGAGAGGAGCAGTGAACAGCAACATTTGCACCCCGCTGACTTTTCCACAACAGTCCAGGAAGGGCAGGTTGTTCACTAACCGTGGTGCGGCTGTGCCCTGTGGATGGTTAGCATGCTGACAGGTTAGACTTCCAGTCTCCTGTTACACTCCACCGAAACCAGCCCTCTGTACTTCACAATTAATTTAAGACTCAGTAACCAGTCTTTCCTTTGGCTCCTCCCTGGAAATTGGGGTTCAGCGTTTTGGCACATTCAGCAGTCCAGCACCCTGCAACAGAGGTTGGGGCTTCAGTAGAAGTGGGGCAGCTGAGCAAGGACCAGCCCTGATGGGAGGGATGTAAACGCGGGTAAGGCTTTGCCCATTCCCTTCCCTGTCTGCAGCCTGGGGACCCCGCTGCCCCCCACTTTCAGATAAGCAGTAGGATTGCATTGCACTGCAGCCCTTGGCTTCGGTCTTCCACAGGACACGCTATCATCAGCATTGCAGCTGATTAACAGAAAATAATTGTTCTAATCATTTAAGACTAATAAATTATGATTTGTATTTTTTCAATCTAATTCTAGATTAGTAACTCTTAAACCATCAGGACACTGACCACTGATGCAGCTGCCAGGGTACTGACAGGGTCCCTCCCCATGGGCGTACTTCATTGCCTTCTGCACCATGCCAGCTTCCAACCATCGCTCCCTCCCTGGAGTCCAAGAGCCACACCAGCTGCCCCCTGCCCCTGCCCTGGAGGTGGTGCCCACCCTCACACCACGCTGTTACAGCCGAGCCTGGAACCCAGCCCCCAGGTGAAGAAAGCCCTGCTGGCAAGGTTACACTGGAAGAGGTCTTTACAAAGAGAGGTCTGACATCTGGTGAGAACGGTGGGTTTCCTCATAATGCTCACTTTAGCTGGGTATTCCCAGATTAAGATGGATTTCCATTGACTACAGGCACTTTGCAGAGAAATGCCTGCAGCTACCATCTTTAAGTGGCATTATGACCTCAAACTTCAGCTGCAAGACACACAGGGTGTTACTTTCCCAGCCTGCAGGTTGCTCCTGCACTGGTTTTCCTCAGGACTGATCATCCTTCCCACAGACCAATTAGCACTCCAATCATCTATTGGATGGAATCTCTTCATCACCACATGCAGAGGGGCTCCCCCTTAACCATCGCGCTGCAGAACTGCGGTGTGCAGCGTGGTAACGAATGCACCCATGGGACAGCATCAGAACATCTGTTCTCCAGAGGTTTGTCACAACTAAATGCTCCCATGTACAAGGTTTCATCAGAACTATAAAATATCATTCAAGGGCTCATTAGGAGCAGCATCAACATAATTATAAGCATAATATGAAAATATAAAGAGCTGGGTATTAATAGCTAGATGGGGAGCTTGTAGTTTCTCAACCCCCAGATGTACAGAGAATGAGCCAGGAGAACGGCTGTGTGTTTGTACAAGTGTGAGGGAGGAAGACTGGGGTCAGACTCACTACAAGTGAGCAAAGCACTTTCAGAAATGCCTTTTTTTTTCCCCAGTTAAAAGGAGAAATCAGGAACCTTTCTATTTGTAAACTCTCCAAAAAAACCAGAGTACATACATCCAATAACCTGAGAGATGAAGAATTCAGAGGAAGTACCCCAAATGGGAAAATAACACCATGCAGACAACACCTGGGTACTGCATGCAGGCTGAAAGAGCATTAGCTAAACAGGCAAGAGTCTGCAGAAAAATAAGGCTCCCATTTTCCAGCATTCATTAACGCCAAGTTTCTCTGAGCTCTCTGCCCCTTGATCCTAGCTAAAAGTGGGTTTTCCAGCCTGAAAAATCACATTGACAGGAGCTGCAGGTGCCTGGGTAGGTGAAGCTCAGCTCTGCAGCAACTCGTCACATACTGTGTGGTGGTTTTACAGAGAACAGTAATACCTGAAGTTGTAACAGCAACTCAGAGGGAGCAGCATAATTGATAGGCCTGAAGAGTGCAGGTAAGTAGGAGGATTGTATTTATATCCCCGGCGTGAAACCCAATGGGAACCGGGCTATTGCACACTGGCTAAAGCGCTTGAAAATTGCCACCAACTCCTTTTTGTGTCGAGTTCTTCAGAGATTTAGTTCATTCCTCCATCGAATCCCACTTAATGCCTCCACAACTCATGTTTAACCATTATCACTAGCAACCCGCTCATAAATGCTTCTTCCTTGTCAGATTCCACAAGCGGGAATCAAGGGGAGATGATACCGCTCTGCCCTAACACAAAGGAAGAGGCAACAAAGTTCCACAGCGCAGCCTATGAAATCCCAACTCTTCCACACTTTTTCACCAGCCTGGTTAACGGAAGAAATTTGATATTTTTTGCACCTTGAAATGACTAGCCTTCATAGGCTTAGGAGAATAAATTAAGGTTGAGCCAAAGTATGCCTCAGCTGCAGCGATGGGCAGATTGATTTGCTTTCCATCTGGGAGATTAAATTCCACTGCCAAAAAAATGGCACCAGCATAATTAGCTGTCAGTCAAGTTGCAGAGAGACAGACTAGGTGGGAT